TTGAGCAAAAAATGAAAATTTGGTGCAATGGATACGCTAGTTTATTGAGGAAGTAAGTGTTACAATCAAGTGGATTCTAAAAGCAACAAACCTGGATACGGAGAGGCAAAAAACTTTGTGGCAGGTTTTGGGGAAAACGTGGAGTGGCGTTTGGATGTAATAAAATGGACGTATGAATAGACTCCATTACAAAGGTTGAGAGAAGCAAGAAGCAAAGCAGTACACAACCGTCAGTAATAGAAGTCTTTGCTTTGCAGAGACGACGCGAAAATAATCCCTTGAAAATGACTCTAATGACCAGCACTTTGACAGATCAGATTCCTGCAACCATGATAATGCTGGGCATCTTCTGCAGTATCGGTTGCATCGGCAACACTATTGTGATTGTGATCTACTCCACCAAGCATGATCGTCTCACCTCCACTGTGTTCATCCTGGCTCTGGCGATGGTAGACTCTTTCGCCTGTGTCTGTCTCATGCCTCTCACCATTTACATTGAATCGGTGGAGTGGCGAATTCAGTCGGAGTTTTTGTGCAAGTTCTACTACGTCATCAACAACTCTTTCATTCCCTTCTCCTCTCTCCTCATCTCGGGCATTGCCTTTGATCGCTACTTCGCCATCTGCCATCCGTTTTCCAAAATCATCACGGTCAGTCGGGCGAAGCAGATAATAATTGTCATGCTCTCATTGGCCCTCCTCCTCGGCGGCGTGTCTTCCATGACGATTGTGGTGAAGCTGATCCCCACTGGCAACACTTCTGCTCCAGAATACGAATGTACGGAGACACGAATGCTGAACACTACCAAGACTCAAATGGTTATTTATCACATTGTTCAGGGCAGTCAGATCTCCAGCTACGTTCTTTGCATTCTCTCGGTGATCATTCTCTATGTCCTCATCTTTCGATCAGTCCTCATCGTACGATTTGTGTCCTTTTTTTATTTGACTTTTACGCGCATTCTAGTCGAGTAAACAGAAGTGAATAATTAATCTCATTGAGTCCTCTAAGGTCCCAGTTTAGGGGAGACACCATGTAACAAAATTTTCCACTTCACTTTTCGTTTCAATTTTTTTTTCTAAATTTGCATAAAATTATTCTCAAAAAAAAAAATTTCGCTTAATCTGATTTTCGAAAGTCACTTCGCCACTTCTTTATCGGATTTGAGTAACTCCGAAATGCGTTAAGAGCGTAAAGAGTTAAAATTTTGATGGAAATATTTTTAAAAAGTGTAGCACATGCAAACTAATGTTATTATTTAGGGTCTTTTTAATATTGTATGCGTTTTTTTATAAACCCAGATATTGCTCACGTAGATGAGTGTTACATTGGGGTGTGGAGGAGTGCCATCCGTAGACGTCTGGAGCAAAGTAAATACAATGGTCTATTATTCCACTCATCCATGGGAA